TCAGGTGCTTCACCCCAGGTGCTTCACCCCAGGTGGTCATCTCAGGTACTTAGCTACTCCACCCCACCAGGCACTGACTGAACAGAGCTTACATCCTGGAGAGACAGCAAGAAAGAGATCAAAGACAGATGCTTAGGGATAAAATAGCTAGTGGGGAGGGAAAAGAAATGCGTGGCTAGTGGGGAGGGAGAGGTAAAGGAAACCTCTCCAGGGAGGAGACATTAACAGCTGAGAACTAAAAGATGCAGATAAGTTAGGAAGGGCATTTTGAGGAGACGAGAAGAGGGGAGGGGAGGGGAGGGGAGGGGAAGGGAGGGGAGAGGAGAACTTGCAAAAGCTCTGAGGTTTGGAAGCCTATGAGGCAACCAGTTTGTCTGGGATGGATGAACTGGAAGGGCTGTCATTTAGAGTGTTGGCTGTAAGGAGCCTGGAATGGTTTTCTAAATGTGATTCTCAAACACTATCAGTCTAGAGGCCATACAAAATTACTAAAGTTCTAGTAGATACTCCACACATGCTGAGTTAAATGGAAGGTCTCTCTACACAAATTGTTGGGCATTTCCTAGAGCAAGAGACCATCAAGAGACATAAGCCTGTGGTTGAATCAGCTCAGCTTCCAAGGGGCTTCTTCCAGATCAGACTCTTGGACATCACCTGGATGAGCCTTGGGTTTTCATCTGCAAGATTGAGGTGGCCGTTGCACCTGCCTCATGGTGTCCTTGTGAGGAGCATAAGGTCGCATTTGGAGAACAACCCCAGGAAACTGTGTTGAAGTACAGGAAAACATGAAAAGTCACTGTCACAGGTGACTGAGTCCCTTTGCAACCCTGCTGTCCTGCAGGAAAGGCTAGGGGTCGGGTGAGACACTTAGTAGCAAAAGGAGAGCAGTCACTCACAGCTGGATCTGAAGGGAGGGAGTGGCCACGCAATACCCACCCACAACCCAAAACAGCACCCAGCCATACATTCCTCTTGCACTTTTGTTACCCAGTGCCTTTTATCTAAGAAAAAGCAAACATTCAGAGATTCAAGAGCCGTGGTCCCCAAAGGCACCAGCAAGCCCTCCAAATTAATCCCTGCGACTTTATCATGAAGGTAGTTCTCGACGCTTTTATTGGTTGGTTGGTTGGTTGGTTGGTTGGTTGGGTGGTTGGTTGGGTGGTTGGTTGGGTGGTTGGTTGGGTGGTTGGTTGGGTGGGTGGGTGGGTTTTTTAGGTAGGGTGTTCCTTTGCTGGCCTCTTGATCTGCCTCAGCATCCTTAGTGCTGGGATTACAGGCATGGACTACCAGACCCATTTCCCCTTGGGTTTTTAGAACTTTATTTCTTTCCTTTCCCATTCTTTGTCTCCTGGGAACTGGGCCTACTATGTGTCCCATGCTTGATTGTCTCAGGGCACTAGCTAGTGAATGAGGCTCATGCCGTGTTTCCTAGATCTGGTCCCAGCCTCGGGAACGACCGTTTCCACCTGATCACACTTCTTCATCTGCGGGCGTCACTGGGTGGTCGTGCTGGCCCTTCCGGAGGGTTAAGCCTTGGCCTCTCTTCCTGTTCCTCTCAGTGGCCTCAGGCAGGCCATGCCCTTCCACTGCTTAGAGCCACAAAAAGGCTGTACACTTGTGACTGAAGAGAGGCCTTTGGATCAGGGCAGAACCTCCTCTGGATTTTTGATAATCCCCAACGGCTGCTGCATCCTCCGCTAAGAGACCTAAAACATCAGTTTCTGGACAGACCCATTCAGCCCAGGCTCCTGCTTCCAGCTGTGTTTCTCCCACAGCTGCCTGTGGAGGGACCATCCTCTACTCCAGCCTTCCTTTATCGACTAGGAAACTGAGACTCTGGCCGCTGGAAATTAGGTTTTCTCCTCTGTTAAATGAGGGTAAAAACTATGCCTGCCAAGGTGACTGACACTTAAAGGTACCTTAGCACCGCACACTGCCACTTGCACATAGTAGGCACTCAGTCAGTGGTTCTTACTGTTCTGAATGGGATGACGATCACAAGAGTTGGTGGCTAGTTAGTGGCACAGAAAGGACTGTTGATCTAAAGTAACTAGTCACAAAGCACACAGTGGCCAAAGCAACATCACCTACAGTTTCAGTGTTTTCCACCCAAAAGTGGTAACCCCAGCCAAGGTGGTGCACTGAGTTGTCAGGTGGCTACACCTGCCTGGTATCCAGGATCAGCAATCAGCATAGAGACGGCTCAGGGACTGACTGGGAGGTAGCCCGGAGGCGGCCCCGCGGCTGTGTGCAGAGCAAGCGCCTGGAAGACATTACACGGCTGTCGGCCGGGGGGGCGTCGCCGGGAGTTCCGGAGGGGGTCCCGGAGGCGGCCGCGCCAGGCGAGGGGACAGCCGGCCACAAAGCGTGCTTTGTTCTTCCCTCCCCCCCGGAGCTGGAACCAATGGATTGGCGGCAGCTGAGGTCATCTGTCAGGCAAAGCTGGGGGTCAGGCTCAGGATGGGGCCCCAGGGCAGGAGCCTCCATGAGCCCCCCCCCCCCGTTATGGGGCGGAGCCAGCTGGAGCACTCAGGCAGGTGGCTGCTTATTTTGGGACTCAGTTTCCCTATCTGTGCAACAGGGAAGATCATGTCTGTCCTGTCCATATCTAGGGCTGTTGATCTGGGGATGTAGGAGTATCCTTTACTCTATGGAAGGGCTAACCAGGAAGCACGTGTGGTTGGTATGCCCACCATGAAGTTTGGAGGTCTTGTAGGCCCCCTTCCAGACCAGGGTAATCACAGCCTTTCCTACGGTCCTCTCTGACCCAGACTACAGGTCTAGCCTGCTGTCTTCTGCACTGACACTTGAGTCCAAGGCCCAGTTGAAGCCTGGTGCTCTGGGATCCAGGATAGCCGTGCAGGGACCACCCAGAGAGGCTATTCTAACTGCAGGCTGATCGGGCTCTGGGCATCCTCACCGACTGAACAGTTGGCAACCAGAGTCCATCCAGTCCCTCACCCTACATCTGCACAGGCCTGCACCTCTCTCTGAGACATGCTGTCAGTGCTGGGTACAGAGCCCCTGAAAGTTGTGTGTCAAGTTTAGAGAGCCACAGAAAGTGGCCCAAATGTGTGTATTTTTGTTTTTTAAAATTTGTGTTTTATTTTTAATTATATGTATGGTAGTATTTGAGTATGTGCATGAGGGTCCAGGTGACCATGGAGACCAGAAGAAGACATTACAGGCTGTCGTAAGCTGCCTAGCTAGGGGACAGGGTTTATAGCTTTCTTTTGTTCTTAACCACGATCATGGTCCAGAAGAAGGGCTGGAGTTTGGAAGAAGAGTCCCCAAGCTCTGTCTCAGCAGCATTTGGAACAGCCTCCTGTGGAGAGGTCACCAGTAAGGACAAACTAGGCAGGACTGCTAGACTGTTCCATTTCTAGGTGCCTAGTTGGTAGAACACAACATGGGAAGTGGGGGTCATGCACTGCACAAGCAGCCGGTGGACTCCCAAGTGTCCACTAACGGGAATGGCTGACACATGGTTACAGTCGTACCCGGGAACACCAGGCAGCAATAAAAAAGAATGAGCTCCCTCGCACGGGATGCACTTGCTCAACAGCTGTCTGATTAGCACCTACTAAGTGCTAGGCACTGCTCTCAGTGCAGGGCTTACAGTGATAAGCAGGAAAGACCTGCCGAGAGATTTACATTTTAGTGGGCAAGGCAGTTATCAGTGGAGACTGAAGAAAACCATAGAGATCGGTGAACTACATAAAACAGAGAGAACAACAGATGGGGATGGGGAATCTTTAGAAAAAGAGGCCACGGGGTAGACACCAGCCTGAGAGTGCTGGCACAGAGTGTAGCTGCCACTACAGAAATAGTGTTTTAAAAGGGCTGGGGTGCTGGAGAGATGGTTCGGCTGTTAAGAGCATGCACTGTTCTTCCCAGAGGACTACAGTTCAATCCCCTGCATCCACACCAGGATTACTATCACCAACACTCCTCCAGCTCGGCACATATCTGCACTCATGTGCACGTGCACATACACCTAATTTTTAAATAATAAAGTTTTTAAAAAGCTGGAGAGTGACTGAGGAAGATACCTGATGTTGATCCTGGCCTCATACACCACACACACACACACACACACACACACACACACACACCACTCACATACATACCACACACACACACACTACTCAC